CTTGAATGGTAGAACCATGACAAGGGTATCAAGTGTTTCAAATCTTGATAGTGAGAACCCTATGAGCACATATGGTGGCCTTTTTAGAAACATCCAAGCCCTAATATTATTCTGAAAATAAGGCGCAGATAATACGATAAGGCTATCATAGTGTTGAACGACCTGTCGAAAGGCAGTGACTGATTCACTTGTCACAAGTTGTTTTAGTGACAATTGGTGCAACACATAGGTGCTGCTATAGGCAAGTTACTGGACTGACCCACCAGGTTCATATGGATGGTAACCCAGTGTCTGTGGAACAAGTCCTCTAACGAATGGTGGTGCATGTGATCCTTAGACTTGAGATCACCGGAGTGCCTTGTGCACCGATTGGTGAAGTTGACACTAGCCTAACGCAGTTCTATTCAGAGTTGTCAATACGGTAGTGATGGCTACATCAAGAGTGTATCAAGACTATGGTGGATTGACAGAGGATTCATCACTCCTGGGTACGGGGAAGTTATCTCATGGTGCAATTCATAAATGGCAATGACACTAAAACTCTGCACAGGGGATTGAGTGTTGCTTGATCTAGTTTATAATTTAGGTCATTGGTCCAATAACTGAATACATAATATCGAGAGTAACAAGAGGTTGACACTATTTCTATGCCTCGGTCTCATCGAGATAATGGATGTGAAAGGATTGGATTGTACAGTAATCATATTGTTAACAGGTAGCTACTTCGCTGAATCTGATCTATCGGGTGGCCATGATACCTTGCTAGGGGCTAATCTTGGTCTGTGTATAGTGAGACGATAATGGTTTAATTGCGATACTACACACTGCAGGTTGATAAGGAGCCTACGAGTCACACACATAGAAGATAATTTAAGAACCAATTTATAAGAAGGTCGTTTTTGTCTCTTTAGGTAAAAAGGTATTTTGGTAATTTCGTAGTGCAATCATATTTACTAAGGTTTAGCCTTTATTTAATTTGTAATAAAATTAAATAAGTGAAATATATTTAAATATGTGTTCACATGTATTTAAATGAATTATGTTATTGTTATATATATGAGATATATATATAATTTAATTTAATTGAAAATAATAATATAAAATATCTAATTGGGGCTGTTTGGGTTGGTGCCCAACCCTATTCCATGATGGATAGGGCAAAGTGTGCACTATATAAGTGCAACACTTTGTGAGAAATATTAATTAATTCATTCAATCATTTCAGAGAAATTCCAGCCCCCTTTTTCTTCTCTCCACGCCATTTCATCTTGATTGAATAAAGTTTCATTGATTTTTGTTCTTGGTTCTTATGGCTAAAGAGGATCTAGCAAATCATCTTTGTTCGTTGGGGAATCTTTGTGTGGACTACGCTAGGTCAATCCTCTCTTGGGTCGGTAGCGAAACCCATTCCGAGACAAGTTGGGGAGCCTCCAATATGGGTATGGTTTCTTAACCTTGAGCTGATTTTTCTGCAGATTCTAATATGTGTATAAACTATAAATTTGTGGGATCTTGGTTCAAAGGAACGATCTATGATGTTTATGTTTTGTTTCACTGCCATAACTTGATCATTCTAACAAGTCCAGCAAAATAATTGGCAGTAGGATTTGAGCATTGCGTGATTGAGTTTGCGACAAGAACACTGATTAGGATGGCAAGTATAGATGAGTGAGATCCAACAATCATTGGAGACTATCCTGAGACTATATTAGGCCTTGTTGGGAAACAGTAGAGGGTGTACCTTGTGGTCCTGAGCTGGTAGAGGGTGAAAACCAGTTGAAGCTGGATCGTGGTGAGGTCAAGGAAAGCATTATGGTCCTTGAAAAACTTCTGATGTTCTAGTGTAATGTATCCAAATTGACCTCTAGCTAATGAGTTATGTCTCCTATAAAGTTACCATCAAATCTATGGTAACAATTGAGAGCAGATGTCTACTTTTCCTGCAAAACTGGCAAATGAACCTGTTTCTCCCGTACCTCTGCCACCAGTGAACTGAGGAGTATAAAAGTGACTTTGTGGTACAAATTAATTATCACCAATGACAAGTAAGTGTGAGGTGAAAAGTTAGGGGACTGCAGTGATTGAAATTGATTATGTCCAGTGTTAAATGAAGTTTGCTCATTCTGATGTTTTTATTGAGTACATCTATTGTGAGATTGGCCAACTGAGCTGACCTCATGAAATTCATCATTGACCATTGAATTCACTACTAGATTAGCCTTTTCTAACCCAATTCACACTTCTGTAGATAATTTGAGCTCTTGGACAGAAAGAAGGTCTAACTCGATCCCAATCTTGTGGAATAATTAACCACAACAATAACATATCAAAATTCAAGCCATCAAGAATATAATTCAACAACTCTTTGTCTGTAATTACAACCACTAGCTGATAGAACTTTAGCAAAACCCTTCATTTTGTCAAAGTAATCATGAATACTAAGACTATCTTTCTTGGTATTTTGCAATAAATTCCTAACATGCAAAGTCTTAGTTCGTGATTCAATGAGAAATTATTTCTCTAAAGCTATCCACATATCGACAGAATATTGCCATTTTAAAACAACACTAAACATAGATTAAGAGATAGATCCAAGAAGCCAACTTACTAATTGTTTATCAGTCTTTTTCCAGTGATTGTATGTCGGATTAGGTTTCTTTTCAATCATTCCTTCGGAGCCTTCTACTTGTACTCTTATAAACGGAGATGGACATGCATCCAATCCAATAAGATGCTCTTCTAAGTCATGAGAACCAACAACAAACAATATTTGGGATTTCCAGAAACTATAGTTGTCCCTAGTTAATTTTGGGGAAATAATAGGTAAGGCTGAAGAAGACATAGATGAGGTGTTTGTAAGATTGATAGAATCAATGGCTAATTTCTAAACAAAATCACTTTGATTGATAGAAAATTGAGAGAGATCAACCATTTTAGACGTCAATCAATGGCTCTGATACCATGTGAGCCCTTAGGCTAAATTCAAAGAAAACGAAAGAAGAAAAATCGAAGAAGCTAGAGCTCTGACTTCTTGTATTCAATTGTAATGAGTAAGTACAAAGAGAAGCACTTTTTATAGTGCTTTATGAACAAGAATAACTAACTACTGTATTAACTAAAAAAAACACTTAACAGCAACTAACAGAATCTAATTAACTATCTTTTGAATATAAAAATTCAATGACGTTGACCTATTCATTTTTACTCTTTTTTACTGACACCATATATAGTATACAATAACACTTTAAGGAAAACTGCTATTGTCTAGTGTTACCGTAGGCAATTACAAGCTAAGAAAGTAATAAAAAATTACATGAACCCTATAATGAGGAAGGTTCCAAGTTTGATGATGAATAGATTTTCTAATTTCAAGAGGAGCTAAATTCAGCTAACTAAATGACTGACATTGAAGGCCTATGTAAGCAAGAATATCTGCTACCTTATTTCCTTCTTCGTAAATGTGAGAGTGATAAAAAGTGATCTTACTAATACAATGCAAACATGTCAACCATTTGTTACACATGGTGCCAAGGATTCAGAAAGGAAGCCGATGTGAGACATGCAAGGGCCATTGTAGAATCACTCTTTAACCAAAGAACCCTCCAACCCTTTGAATAAGCTATAGATATAGCAATATTAATTGCATATAAGTCTGCAAAATAAATAAATAAATAACCCTTTTGATGACCAAGAGATGTTGTGCAAAACATCCCATGAAACACATTTATAATTGCGAAAAATTCTTCCACATGATGCTAAACTAGGGTTACCATTAGAGAGTCCATCTGTGTTCATTGCAATCCAAGGATTCACAAGAGGCTGCGGTACAATTGTGAGAATTTTTGGTGCCCTACAAAGATGAGGAGAATTGCCTAAGTTGTCAAAGATTTCTTTATTTGAATGAGAAGAGTAGCCAAGACATGAAGAAAAAGAATGTTGAATATTCTAGGTCTTCAAATGCAAAAGTCTACAAATGAATTTGCTATATACGAGTGTGAAAGAGCTAGCTGCTTGTTGAACCTATTGCTACTATGTTCCCCTAATCCCCTTATAATTAATTGAAATCAGAATGGCGTCAATTCTTAATAATTGATTTTAGACTTTCTTAATAATTGATTTTAGACTATGTATTAGAGTTTTTTTCAGACTTGATATTAAACTATAGGCAAATTCTTTGTTTACTAATAAAATTTTCAAAAGAAGAGACATGATTCTAGGCTATTAGTAAAGAAGAAAATTCAATGCTGTTTGTTTACTGTGAACTCTTAGTATAGTAGTTGCTATTAAGTATCCCAGTTAGTTACTATTTGTAATATCTCAACACTATAAAAGTGTTACTCATTGTACTTTGTATTTAAGGATATTAATACACAAATTTTCAGAACTTTCTCTTTTTCGATTCTCTCTATTTCTACTCTAAATATCACATGGTATCAAAGCCATTGACAAACATCAAAGATGGTTTATTTGCCTCCTTTTTCATCGAATCAAAACAATTTAGGTAAAAAATTGTTTACTGAATCAATTAATTTTGCAAGTTCCCAATTGATGTCTTCTTCAATTCTTCCTGTGATTTCTCCCAAATTGACTAGGGATAACTATAGATTTTGGAAGTCACAAGTTCTCTTTGCTATTGGATCTCATGACCTTGAAGAGCATCTCACTAGATTGATTTTGTATCCAACTCCATTTGTCAATGCTTAAGCTAAAGGTTTTGAAATAACAACAACAAAGAAACCTAATCCAGAATACACTCTATGGAAGAAAACTGACAAAATCTTAGTAAGTTGGCTTCTTGGATCCAAATCTGAATCGATGTAAAGTGTCAATATTCTATCAATATATGGATTACTGTAGAAAAAAAGTTTCTTACTGAGTCAAGAACAAAAACTTTGCACGTTAAAAATTTGCTTTAGAATACTAAAAAGTACAATCTTAATATTCATGATTACTTTGACAAGATGAAGGGATTCACTGAAAGTTTGTTAGCTAGTGGAATAGTAGTTATTGATGAAGAACTGATGAATTATATTCTTGATGGTCTTAATTTTGAATATGATGCTGCTGTGGTAAATATAACTACAAGGTTGGAGTCTATGTTAGATCCAATTTATGTACAATAAGCTCAAATTATTTTGCAAAAACATGAGCTTTGGTTAAAGAAGAAAAATTTAGCAATAAATTCAGTAGTCAGTATTGAGTTTCATGGAAGTTCAATCAATAATGCCAATATCTCAATTGACATGACAAACAAGAAATCCCAAACTAAACAGTCTCAGTTCAACATTGGACAACCTCAATTTGGTACCCTGTAAACTCTTGATTTTACACCTCATAACTTTACTCCTTAATAGTCTATCATTGGTCTAAACTAATTTGTGAATTGAACACCATAGAACAAATTCTATTCTAAACAATTCGTTGGTGCAGAGGAAGAGGCAAGTTCATATGTCAAGTATGTGGTAAAACTAGACATCTTGCCTTAAACTATCACAAGTTTGATGTGAGTTTTATAGGAGGGAGCAATTCATCATTCAAAAACAATTTTGTATTGAATTATTCCAGACCACCAGAGTTCTTTAAAGGGTCATAGTAACTTACTCAAGCTTCCCCACAATTCTCTCATAATCACAATCTGGGAGCACAAATGAATGCACAAGCTGGATTTCCATCTCCATTTTATCCAAGCACTGGTTTACAAGATCCTACTTCACCTGGATTCTCATTACAAGCCAATCCAACTTCTAGTCAGTCACAAATGAACACTGAACCTTGATCAACTCCACCTAATTCTTATAATCAAGTTTTCCTATCCTAAACACAATCATAGAGTTATTCTAATTCTGCTGCCAACTACATTGCTACTCCATCAACAATCCAAGATGCATCTTAGTACATGGATTCTAGAGCCATGAATCATGTGACATAGAGCTATGTCAGCTTACGTTGAACTCCAATTACACTGGAAATGAACAACTTCAGGTTGGAAATGGTGAGCTACTTCCTATATCTCAATCTCTTTACCTTAAGAATGTCTTATGTGTGCCTCATATTACAAAAAATTTGTTAAGCATTTCTAAGTTCACTAGAGACAATAATGTCATTGTTGAGTTCTTTGCTGATCATTGTGTGGTTAAGGACAAGTAATCCAAAGCTATCAACTCTAGATTCCAGACACTTCTTCCACCTCCAATTTAGCCTTACTTGTTGCTTATCCCAACTCTACAATATCAGTTTTCAACTCATCAACAAGGGATCTCAATATGTATCAGTCTTTGACATCTTTATCTTTTACATCTTGTGAAAATAATAGCGATAATAAAGCTTGTGATCTTAAGAGTCTGTGTAATACTAGAGCCAACAATTAGTCACACACATCTATATCCATTTGTATTGATGTTGCTATTAATAATGAAAGAAGCATTTTTCAATCATTTCCAGTTGAAAAAACCGGTGGAATGTTGTGGCATAAACAATTAGGTCAACCTAATGCAATTGTTCTTGCAAAAATCCTGCATTCTTTGAAAATAAATCATTCAGTTAAAGTGAGTTTGATTTCTCCACAGCCTATCAATTTGGTAAACTCCATCAGTTTGTCCTTCCTAGATCAAGCTTCTAATCCCTTGGAATTAGTGTATTCAATTTGTGGGGGCCATCACCTATCCCATCCCCTGAAGGATTCAAGTACTATATTCAGTTTCTAGATGACCACAGTAGGTTTACTTGGATCTTTCCCTTGAAAGCTAAGTCTGAAACATGAGTTACTTTTAAACAATTTCACAAGTTAGCTAAGAGACAATTTAATAAAACCCTGAAATGTGTTCAAACTGAATGGGGAGGAGAGTATAAAAGTCTAGTCTCTTATTTTTATGATCATGGTATTCTCTTTAGGAATCCACGCCCTTACACTGACCAACAAAATAAGAGTATAGAAAGGAAACACAGACAAATAGTTGAGTAGGGCTTGACCTTATTGGCCCAAGCTAGTATGCCCTTGAAATATTGGTGGTTTGCTTTCCAAACTGCCACTTTTCTTACCAATAGGCTACCCACACCTATTATGTCCAATGCATCTACATTTCAAATTTTGTTCAAAAAGATTCCTAATTATTTTGTTATTCGAGTTTTTGGTTGTGCAGCCTACCCTTTTACTTGACCATATAACTCTCAAGAGTTTTATTTTCATACCACAAAATGCACTTTTGTTGGATACAACTTGCATAAAAAAAGGATACAAATGTTTGGACTCTAATGGTAGAATTTGTATTTGTCAAAGTGTCAAATTTGATTAGTCACATTTTCCTTTTGCTTAAACATCTACATTTAATAAAAGTGCTCATTCCCTTACTGATTCATCTAAATGCACCTCTATTCCAATTAGAAAAATTCCTTTGCATATATCTTTTTTTAATAATGATGTCTCTTTTCCATCACATGTGTCTTCTTTAGCTAATGCATCTCCATTAATACCTACNATCTTGCCTTAAACTATCACAAGTTTGATGTGAGTTTTATAGGAGGGAGCAGTTCATCATTCAAAAACAACTTTGTATTGAATTATTCCAAACCACCAGAGTTCTTTAAAGGGTCATAGTACCTTACTCAAGCTTCCCCACAATTCTCTCATAATCACAATCTGGGAGCACAAATGAATACACAAGCTGGATTTCCATCTCCATTTTATCCAAGCACTGGTTTACAAGATCCCACTTCACCTAGATTCTCATTACAAGCCAATCCAACTTCTAGTTAGTCACAAATGAACACTGAACCTTGATCAACTCCACCTAATTCTTATATCAAGTTTTCCTATCCTAAACACAATCATAGAGTTATTCTAATTCTTCTGCCAACTACATTGCTACTCCATCAACAGTCCAAGATGCATCCTAGTACATAGATTCTGGAGCCATGAATCATGTGACATTAGAGCTATGTCAGCTTACGTTGAACTCCAATTACACTGGAAATGAACAACTTCAGGTTGGAAATGGTGAGCTACTTCCTATATCTCATATTGGTTTCACTTCATTGCCCTGTTATTCTAGATCTCTTTACCTTAAGAATGTCTTATGTGTGCCTCATATTACAAAAAAATTGTTAAGCATTTCTAAGTTCATTAGAGACAACAATGTCATTGTTGAGTTCTTTGCTGATCATTGTGTGGTTAAGGACAAGTAATCCAAAGCTATCAACTCTAGATTCCAGACACTTCTTCCACCTCCAATTTAGCCTTACTTGTTACTTATCCCAACTCTACAATATCAGTTTTCAACTCATCAACTAGGGATCTCAATATGTATCAGTCTAAACAGTCTTTGACATCTTTATCTTTTACATCTTGTGAAAATAATAGCGATAATAAAGCTTGTGATCTTAAGAGTCTGTGTAATACTAGAGCCAATAATTAGTCACACACATCTATATCCATTTGTATTGATGTTGCTGTTAATAATGAAAGAAGCATTTTTCAATCATTTCCAGTTGAAAAAACCAGTGGAATGTTGTGGCATAAACAATTAGGTCAACCTAATGCAATTGTTCTTGCAAAAATCCTACATTCTTTGACAATAAATCATTCAGTTAAAGTGAGTTTGATTTCTACATAGCCTATCAATTTGGTAAACTCCATCAGTTTGTCCTTCCTAAATCAAGCTTCTAATCCCTTGAAATTAGTGTATTCAATTTGTGGGGGCCATCACCTATCCCATCCCCTGAAGGATTCAAGTACTATATTCAGTTTCTAGATGACCACAGTAGGTTTACTTGGATCTTTCCCTTGAAAGCTAAGTCTGAAACACGAGTAACTTTTAAACAATTTCACAAGTTAGCTAAGAGACAGTTTAATAAAACCCTGAAATGTGTTCAAACTGAATGGGGAGGAGAGTATAAAAGTCTAGTCTCTTATTTTTATGATCATGGTATTCTCTTTAGGCATCCATGCCCTTACACTGACCAACAAAATAAGAGTGTAGAAAGGAAACACAGACAAATAGTTGAGTAGGGCTTGATCTTATTGGCCCAAGCTAGTATGCCCTTGAAATATTGGTGGTTTGCTTTCCAAACTGCCACTTTTCTTACCAATAGGCTACCCACACCTATTATGTCCAATGCATCTCCATTTCAAATTTTGTTCAAAAAGATTCCTAATTATTTTGTTATTCGAGTTTTTGGTTGTGCAGCCTACCCTTTTACTTGACCATATAACTCTCAATAGTTTTATTTTCATACCACAAAATGCACTTTTGTTGGATACAACTTGCATAAAAAAAGGATACAAATGTTTGGACTCTAATGGTAGAATTTGTATTTGTCAAAGTGTCAAATTTGATTAGTCACATTTTCCTTTTGCTTAAACATCTACATTTAATAAAAGTGCTCATTCCCTTACTGATTCATCTAAATGCACCTCTATTCCAATTAGAAAAATTCCTTTGCATATATCTTTTTTTAATAATGATGTCTCTTTTCCATCACATGTGTCTTCTTTAGCTAATGCATCTCCATTAATACCTACAACTGATCAGCAAGATTCAACAATGACCAAGTCCTTTTAGCCTGATCCAGTTCCCAATACATCATCTAGTTTACTAGATTAGTCATTGAGTCTAAATCACCTTGTCCAATACATAAATCTCTTGAGTCTGTATCACGTAATTCCATAGGTTAGTCTCCTAACACTATTCATCTTATTGTTGACCTACCATTTGATAAACAACCCTTTATACCTAATCCAATAAACAAGTCTCTTGAACATACATCCTTAGATCACTCTCATGATAATATTCATCTCAAAGTTGCCTTACCATTTGATACACAACCCACAAATACTCATCCCACGCTTACTAGGTCAAAAGCTAGACTTCATAACTCTATGTTAGTTTCTTCCACAAACAGTCCTTCTCATCTTGAAACCAGTGAACCAATAAGTGTAACTAAAACACTCTCTCATCCATCCTGGAAAGTTGCTCTGCAAACTAAGTTTAATAACATGCTCTTGAATAACACTTGGGAATTGTTTTAGCTAAGTCACATATGGATATAGTTGGGAGCAAGTTGGTATTTAGAATTAAACATAACT